ACTCAGTAGATACGTTTACAAATCTTTATGCAATAGGAAAAATCAATCTTTTAACACATATTACAGAATATATTACGCATTAAGGGAACTTTTTGACTTAATTCGAGAATTCCTATCTTAGGAGTTTATCACCGAAGGTAGATAAGTCTTCGCTACGTATTTCAATGTCAATCTAAACAGACACGAATGTTTAACCATAGTAAATGGAACTCTCGTGAAACGAAATATAGTTTATTCTTTAATCACCTTCGGTGTGGTTTAACATTTAAGCTCATTAGGTGAAACTGTAAGGGATCGTTTCCATCGTAAAACGATCAAGTATACGTAAAACCTCTTATAATCAATCGAAAAACTAACCTCGAAAGCACACTCACCTATATTATACTCGAGGGTTTATCACAAGGCTCTGATAGATACCTAAATTACTTTATAGATTAATTCATATCTAAAACATCGACACATTTCATTATTTATATATAAGAATAACCACCTAATTATACATTATATTAAAGTATGTATAGAAAGATCGATAAAGGAAAGTACTTACGCAAACTGGCTCCAACCTTAATAGACAAATTATTGAAAGAAAATTATAAGACTTTAAAATTGTTTTCTTTTCCAAATTTTTCGATAGTGAATAACATGAAAATAGGTGTATAGTGTATACTAAATATCAACCCACAAATACGAATTGCGTGTCAAGTAAAATTCTTTAATTCTAATTTTACAAGATTGTTTCTTTTTTTCCAGCATAAGATTGGATCCAATTTTCATAAACAACATCCATACAATCAAGAGATAGAATTAGGTTCCCTGTTTTCATTACATGCAAAACGGCTTGAATTCATCTAAAATATACAATTTATAAGCATTTTCTAAGGTGAAAATAGATCACTGCAATATGAGTAAGTTTTACGTGTCTCGTTCATATATCAATAAAGTATTGTAGACGATTCTTACATTATTTATTAATTTACTAGAATAACAAAGGACCGATGGAGGGTAGATAATTATTATGGCACTTTCGTAATCCAATCACGATTTATTTTTTGTACAAATAGAGATTTCTCATTAGTTAATTGAAAATTCTAAAGTAAACTAATTTGTTCCATCAAATCTCATATATACGTAATAAAAAAAAATTATATAAGTGACCCAAGTCTTTAAAAAGGTTTTTCTTTAAATACGAAAGATATTTTTTTTGTGAAACGCTCATTATTCAATATATTGTATTAACAGTACACTAACCAAACTACGTATAGTGTAATCGAAAATTATATATATGTAAATTTTATTATAATCCGGTACGGAGAACGCATAAGTTAAAATTTCTCAGCAATAGCAGAATCATAAGCTTCATATTGCACTATATCGAAATATAACATTCTAAATAAATAGAGAATTCTATAATAATATTACAAAACTATACTACAAGATGCAGTTTTCCAAATAGCAATATAGACGCCACACATCCAGTAAACATATAACTCAGGATTATATTCTAAAAAATTATTGCAATGTTCGATTTTGGAGAACAACATGCAGACGGATATTATTTTAAAAAATAATAATAATAATCACCTTATTTTATTTCCAATAACAATACAATATTCTTTGTGCCCTTTCTCCCATATTAGTTTAAACTGTATTATATCATCCAGTGCCTTCCTAATTACTGATTAACCGCTCTCTTTATTGCTGTCAAATTTACTAAGGGCTATTCTTTTAAAAAATACAGCGTGTTATCGATAATAGCAATAAAAGAAACCATTATTGCCTTTTGAATTATGTATTAGATTGAACCTCTAGCTTTGGTTTGGACGTTGCACTTTTATACCAAAGCTAGACTGTGATGGCGTTCGAAAATTATATTAAATATATTAATAAGCATCAAAAATAAAAATAAACTTTTAGTTTATAATTGAGCAAGCTATGTTACAAATCAGATCTATAAAAATCACTCAATGTCAACACCAAACAAGATTTGTTTTATTAGTAAAAACAAAATATTAATCAGATGTCGGAAAGTTAAAATAATTAATAAAACCTTTTTTGCTTTAGACTATTAAAAATGTAAACTATTTTTTTGTAATAATATAATATGCTTAACAATAGCCTACAAAGTTTCTAAAAAGATTATTTAGAATTTTATTATAAATATTGTTATAAATATGGAAAAAATGCTGTACTAACACAAACGGATTCATAGGAATATTCTGAATTAATAAATTAGGAAATTGCGTTTTTATAATTATATTAAATCATTTGGAAGATTGTTGAAAAATATTGACCATATTAATTGTGCAAATATCACAATTAATACGGTCTTTCAAATGCGTACATTAGTTTGAGATAAAAGTTAAGTACTTTGTGCCTAGTATTGGGAAGCACCATCGAAGTATATATTTATAATATAGTATTTACAGTTTTAAAGACGGAGTAATCAAGAAATCTATTATATTATTTGTGAATAATTTTAATTGAATTGAGAATTCGTTTCTATTAAAATATAACATTAATTATTTGGCAGTGTTCAAAAATAAACTAGAATATTATCTTGAATGTAGAATTAATTAAACATAGTCTAGTAGGAAAAACAAAGATAAATAAATAGCCTTCGATTATACACCAAAGGGTGTCTTTGAGCTAGTTTTGTTTATTCCATGTACAAAGTGGAAGTATTACGCAGTGATCTGAACTATTAGAATGATTTATTACAGTAATCGTTATAATTACAACAGCAAGACGAATAATAATCGATATTGGCATTTTAATGTATTCGGGTACCTGAATGGAACTGCTAGAGGGACAGTAAGGATGTGAGGTATAAAACTTTACTTTTAAACTGTCCCATAGGCAAGTTAAGGCAAACGAATCTTTGTTTAAACAGCCATATACAATCAACAAAAAAAAATATTCTGTAATCTAAAACTGAATCGAATAATAATATGGATATTTATTAGATAGTATTTTTATGGGTATTAATCACGAGAAACCTATACATTCAAAATAATTCTCATTAGAGACTGAACGAATAAAAACGCTCTTTAAAAGACCATGAAGAATTATTCCGCAGTACTATTGATGCTTCGAATTTTACTTGAAAATTGAATCTTGAACATTTACATATTGATTTATTTGGCATTAAATATCAGGCCTGTTTACTGTCTACTGATAAACAAGTTATTTCATGGAAATTGGAGAATAAACAATCACTGGTCGAATAAATAAAAGAATTTAAAACATTTCCATAATTTCTATGACGCCACAAATAAATGGTAACGTAATAAAAAATAACCACATCAAGTAAATATACTAATTTATCAATAGACAGATAAATTACGACCAGGTAAACTATTCTAAGAGCTATTATTTATAATATACATTGTATACTAATTAAAACCGGTATAGACTTCATCAGTATTGTATTATAAGGGACTCAACATCACACGTATTGTCAGGTAGAATAAAGCATATTACAACGAATGGATACTAATGTCACTACACCAAACCTATAGATAAATTTGTGCTCGAAACAATCGAATAACGTGTTCGAAATAATAATAACGCCATCTAGTAGAGATGCGGAACAACAATGTGATTGCAGACGCACACTGTCTGGCAGTAACATATTTTTTTTTTAATATTAAGGATACGCGCAGACAAGACTCATTAAATTTTATTGTGACTACTGACACTATATATTGGGAATCTATATAACATCAAATATTGGTATATCCAAGTTAGAAGATCGATAGAAACTAGTTTCCTTTTGTTAGTACAACTAATAAACCATTTATGACTTTCATAACAAACTGAACCAGCGCCAGTAGACTAGTAGAAAGTATTAAACAAATACGAAACAATAACTTTCCTCACAAAAACAATATCTTGAACCAGTAACAAGAAACTATAGTCATGATCAATTCACTTTAAGCTACATCACTATTACCTAACGGCGGGCATCGAAAACTGGTGTTCAATAATATCTTAAACGAGCCGTCCTTATCACATTGCTTTTGCCAGATAGGGACAGGCAACTAATAAATTAAATCACTAGGTCTACTCATCGACACCCGACAACTATTTTTCTATATCCACGTACGCTTTACATAATAAGTTTGTGCAAACAATATGGAATGTTAAACTACAACCTACGAATACCGATCTGTTAGTGTATCGGCAACGACGCAATCAAGCCAGCAAAATATAACTACACAAATCGTGCATAGCGTTTCAATTCACATATACATAATTTATACATATTCATGTCGTGCGTTTATTTAACATGATGACACAAAACATGCATGATTATCGTATATATGTAATCTCTTATATCGTAACGAGTGCATTCTCTTAATTTACCGGCACTTAAAAAAAATACAGTAGCCATCAGAAAATAGTTATCACAAAACCGAAGTGATAGTAAAATTTAAACATCTTCAGCAAACACATTCACTAACCAGAAAATATTTTGGAATAACCATATCATAAGAACGAATTTCATTATCAGTTTGAACTATCCGGTACCGATATTCATTAAAAACTACTTACATCTGTCCGTGTCACTGGAAACGATCACGGGTGAAATACGGAGACCGGTATGTCGCTACGGATATGTATAGAATAGAGTCGTCAGTGTACAGCCGGCGAGAAGGCCGAAGACAACGTCCACTTGGAGGATACGAAAATCAGAATTCGATATACGAAAAGAAACGGACATATTCGAACACTGCTCCGTATCAACGGTAATGTCGAGATGACCAGCGTTTCGATCCGTGCTCATAAATGCAGATAAAATTGTTCAGTCGCGATAACGTAGTCCGACTACGAAGGCATATGTACAGAACGGCTGACACCGTCTCTGCTACGGCACGCCGCTGTGCTACGAGGCATGCTACGGCCGTAGAGGCGGGTGCTACGAGGCGGTTTCGCTCGCGGGCTCCTTAGGCGATAATATCACAGATTCCTAACAAGTGACGCCTTTACAGTTCACGCGCCTAGCCCTCCGGCGCTCCACCGCACAGCCGCTCCAATTCCAGAAGCTCCTGGAATATTTCAATTGTGTATACCATCCGCTCATATCATTTCGGTAACGCAAAAAACATACAAAGTAATAATAGAATATCAAAGTTAACCCGCCAATAAATAGAATTTATTCTATACAAGCTGTAGTCCCGCGACTTCGCACGCGTAAATTATAGCCTTATGGCAACCTGTATGCTGTAGCTACCCATGGGAGTAAGAATTTTTAAAATCAGTCTAGTAGTTTCGGAGCCCATTTTAAGGCAAACTCAGCTATAGTCCGATTCACATAGTATGAGTAAGGTGACGTTTCGGATTAGTTTTTAGTGACGTGGTAATACAAAAACTCGATATTATTGAGTTTCTTTCTAATAGAAATAATCTATTTTCAGGTCAATGTGTAAAACAGAATACAATAGTTACTTATATTTTAGTAACTATAACTTTGCTATATTTGATCAAATTTATATCCTAATGAAAAATGCTTAAAAAATCGACATTGGGGACAATGTCGACTGATGCCAGGGATGGCATCAGTCGACAGTTTAACTGTTATAGGCAATAAAAGATTAACTAAATAAATATCACCAGCCCTTTTACGTCCCCACTGCAGGGGCTCAGGCCTTCCTTATGGATGGTTAAGGAGGATGGGCCATGACCCTCCACACTGGTTCAATGCGGATTGGAGGATATTAACGACTGCAAATGCAACCGGGACCAACGGCTTAACGTGCCTTCCGAAGCACGGAGTAGCTCGAGATAATAATTTTTGGTCACCCATCCCGTGACCGACCCTTGCAAAAGTTGCTTAACGACTACGATCGCGGGCCGCGGCGCTTATCCACTACGCCACCGAACTACTCTATAAATATAAACATGTAGATATATACCTGGTCCCTGTGCTTCTGCAGTAACGCCCGCAGACGCTCATGAGCTCGCGCTAGTTGTTCCCGACGTCGCGCGTACGCTTGCTCGAGACGAGAACATTCGGCTACACCACGCTCCACAGACTAATATATTAAATTATTAAAAATTATTAAATAAGAATTTTTCATGATATGCTTTTATGATTTCACACATTAGTCTTTGGTTCCCCGCTAATCTAAACTTAGGTCAAAACTGAAAATCGGTAGTTTGCTTTTCAAGCAAATATATTGCCGAGCTTTTGACCTTTTTGCATCGTCCCGGCATACATGTGGTCCTGTGTGTGTTTTAATCGATTGTTTAATTTTGTTTTTGTATTTTATTTCAGTGTGTATATAGCATGTTGTGCTGTGATTATAGCAAATAAAATTATCATTCATTCATTCATATATAATCATTATCAGCCATGCTATTTCCCGACCAGCCATTGCTAAAGTTTCTTAACAACCGTATTGTAGACCGAGTGCGCTTACCACGCCATCGAGCTATATACATACATAGAGAGACACATAATACTATATTTAAAAAATAAGTATGTATTATGTTTCGTTTCAAAATTAATTGTAAGTATGTTTTATTGTTGCAAAATTAACTTGAGATTACTAAACTCTTGTCGATTTTTGTCGCCAGCTGTTGGACTATTAGCTCAAAATAGTACGGAAATACAAATCGGTTGGCGTCTAATGGATTGAAGCCGTGATTTATTTTAAATTTTGTTAACTTCTGTCATTATTTTTCTCACCTGCGAGTGTATTTCCCTTTTTATCCTGAGAATCTCGTCTTTATCTCTATTAGTCTTCTTGGCTAAAGCTTTTACATCTTCCTTCCGTGAATTCGCTAGTCTATTCAGAATTTCTTTCTTCTCAAGTTCCAATAAGTCCTAAAAAAAAAGAAAAAAAATACATCATACAATATTTGTATACTACAAAAGTATTATATGGTGTTAATCAACACTGAATGATAATTATTATCTAGCTGTGTTGTACTTATTTATATTATATGCAAGCAAAATGTAACTTAATTCGGGAATAATAAAATATGACCGAGAAAAATATTTATTACATTTAAAATTAGTTACGCAATCTAATGTGCAGTATCCTGTTGAGAAATACAACTGAGTTGTGATGAACCTATTTTAGTTTGTCTTAGGTAAGTTCGAAATGGCAACTTTTGGCACGCTGCAATTAGCACAAACGTATTTCTAGTTAGGTGTCACGTTAATAAGGATGATTATTAAGTAAAAAAAAAGATATTGTATCTAAGTCCGTCAGTAAGATAATATAAAAATATTAGATACGTATTTTTTTTATTACTTCAATCTAACAAGAAATAGTTTCGATCACTATGTCTCGATATGTCATAGTTTTATAGAACAAGTACAAAAGCGTGACGTCATGTGATATTTCAACTGAATGTAGCGCCGCAATTTAATGTTTAAGCAAAAAAAAAATTAGTGGTTAATATTTCTCAACAATCTACTTGACGGATTTAAAAAAAAACATGAGTCATAATCCTTATTCGTACAGCTCGTAGTTGTTATATTATGTGATGTATATTTACTGTGAGAGCCTTCATCTGATGATGTTGATCGTTGCGCACGTGTTTCTCTAGGGCCGCGTATATGGCGTGATGATATCTCAGACGTAATTCGCGCTCTTCACTGCCCCCTTCTTCGCCGCTACCATGCGCTTCGCCTCCGTACCTTATAATGGTAATTAATATTTTAATAATTTTTCAATGATTCTAAGTTTTAGATTATCTTTTATTAAGTACCTTATGGCCAAGGAATTTATAACATAGGAAACTAAATAATTCACATCACTTATTGTTTTCTTCGATGGACGATATAATTTAAAACCTTATAAAACGAATATTTCAAAATCAAAATATAACTTTTTTAATATCCGGGAAAACGATGTCCGTCATATTCATGACATCATGCTGATACGTACAAAAACAGGTGCATAGAGTAGAAGGTTAAAAGATGTCAATAAAAGAAAAACAATGCCATCTAACGATCGATTACGACATAAAAAGATATAAATATAGGAAGTTGATTTATAATTAATAGGCATATCTTTATAACAAATCTGACAGGTTGTCGCCATAATGGCCAGTCGTGTTTAAAGGCACGTGACACACAGACAAAAAATTACTACTTTTAATTTTAACATATTAAAATAAACGTGCGATTTTATGACTAAAACCCAAAATCTCTATGTCTATAGTTTTTGTGAAATTTCGTGACTTATTTTTCACTACCGAAACTATATTATAACTAAGTTAATTTCTCTCAAATAAAAATTATCATGAATACGTACAAATTCTTCGAGGACAGTTTCTTAGCAAGCTTGTTGCCGACGTAGAATTTAGCGGTGACTGGCCGTTTCTCCTTATCTTGTTTGCGCCGCAACGCGTCCAGTTTTCGAGCGAGTTCAGCACGCTTTTTGCGAACCATTTCACTGGACAGTAGTGTATCTAAACTTTCCGCTAACGCCGATTCATCTGAAGCACCGTCTTGTTTTTCGTCTGTTTGTTCTGTAAAAAGGTTATTAATTAATACATAATCATATTGGTAACGCTTTATGAACTCTGTTGGCTACTTGACATTATTATAGTTATTTAATAATAATAACTAGTTATGTAGTATATTTTGTTTTAAAGTAAATTTGAAGTTTATTTTATAATTGTAAAATTAGCTTGCCATTTATAATCTGTGCATCGTGTGACATCACATTTCAACAAACTAAACTTTAAATGTGTACTCACGTTTACTGAAATGTGACGTCACGGCTCAAAATATTACGTGACTGGTTGTTTTCGAGGGACAATTAAAATAAATGGATAACTATATATTTTTCTTTTATTTAATAACATTTGTTGGGGGAAAATAAACCTGATAATAATTTAAGAGGTAAATTAGATATCGATGGGTTTGATAAGAGATTGCGTGATTTTGATACCGAATAAGCAATGCGTGACTCTTATTTGTGTTCTGAAATGTTTCGAAATTTCTTTTTCTGTTTTCTATTTTCATACCATACCTTGGGACTCCTTATCGTTAGCGGGAAGCGACGCTGCTGATGTTATAGACTCGTTCTCTATCAGCTTCTTGGTCTCCGTCATTATGATGGAGGATTTACTAGGACTGCCATCTGTAGTGCTCTCTTGTTTTATCTAGAAATATTATAAAACAATAGGTCGTCGGACAATATTTAACTATTGCTATATAAATTTTATAATTTTTTTCTCTACATTTTAACGCAATACAAATACAAATAAGCTAAACTTCGTATGTCACATAATTTACGGTAACTAAACGTGTTGAACGTAAACAGTAACTAAGAACTCAGCACAGTATTTTTTTCAACACAAAGTCAATTTTAGCTTACTTATATCGTTAATACGAGTAGTTTCTTATACGTAGTATAAAACAGTCTCTTCTTGCTATCTGTACGTTTAGATATTAAATTATACAACGGATTTAAGTCAGTGGCGGAATAAAGAGGGGTTAGCCTCCGGTTCTGATGGGCCTCCAAATGGCTACAAAGTCCCTTGAAATTCTTGTTGGTTAAATCATGAATTACGCGTGACGTAATTTATGAATATTCTATACAAAAAAAAATTAACAGATTTAAAAAAATGAATTTATGTATTTATACATTAGTAACAATTTTTACCAAACTTAAATAAACGAGATGTTCGTCCACGATCATCTCGCGTTTGGCTGAACTGTTTTCGATGCGGTCTTCAGAGTTTTTTTTCCGGTATATATAATGTGATACAACTTACCGGCGCGGCATGGTGAGGCCTGGCCGCGTCTGGTACGGGGGCGGCGAGGGCAGTGGGGGCGGGGGCGGCGGGGGCGTCGGTGCCCTCCGTGAGCACGGCCAACTGGTGCTCGCGTTTGTCCAACTCACTCTGGTACTTTATCGGGTTGGCGAGCGCCTCCGCTAGCTCCGATAGCCGGTCCGGCACGTAATCCTATAATAAACAATACGGGTGTAGACGGCAAAAGAAAGTACATCACATGATCATCAAAATAAAATTACTATTACTATGCGGGCGATATAGCGAAAACAGCAAATAAAAGTATGAAAATTGGAGTGAAAGTTTGTATAGGGAATTAAAACTGTTGATATGTTTCTCTCGCTATGTAAGACACCATCTACTACCCGTCTATTAAGTAACAGTCCAGTCTAACATGCGGTTGCCTGGAAGAAATTGCTCTTTAGCGATAAGGCCGCCGATTGTACAACTAAACTATATCAATTGTGTTTTTCTATAATTTATGGTGTACAATAAAAATTTATTCTTTCATTCATTAAAACGTTACCATAATAACCATTATTTACTATACAATTTGTCATTATAATTATATCCGGTTATGAGTAGATTTTAAAATAATGGAAATATTACCTTGACGACCACGAGTAGAAGTAAACTGGCGGGCAGCGGCAACCCTAGCTCAGTACGCAACTGGACATGTCTATAACCGGGACACAACCCTACGACGGGTAGCACGCGGTGGCCCACCAGCCGGCCGCTCTCCTCGTGAGCGGCTATACGAAGCATCGCCAGCTCTGGTAACACTACCTGAAAGTCATTTATTTATCTCAATACTAGTCAAGATTTAATTTTATTCTTAATACTATAATAATGTATGGCTCAAAAGAACTTGAATCCAGAGCCGTTAAGCTCAATAAAAAAAAGTCATTTATTTATTTAAACTTTATTGCACCATAAGTAACACGGTGAATAAGTAGCTCAGTGGCGTAGTGGATAAGCGCAGCGGCCCGCGATCGTTGTCGTTAAGCAACTTTCGCAAGGGTCGGTCACGGGATGGGTGACCAAAAAATTATTACCTCGAGCTACTACGTGCTTCGGAAGGCACGTTAAACCGTTGGTCCCGGTTGCATTTACAGTCGTTAATACCCTCCAATCCGCATTGGGCCAACGTGGAGGGTCATGGCCTATCCTCCTTAACCATCCATAAGGAAGGCCTGAGCCTCTGCAGTGGGGACGTAAAAGGGCTGATGATGATGATGATTGCACAATACAGCATATATACCACATATTATAAATAGGGTTCCGCTCGTGCCACGCATTCTTAGCTCATCAATTCCAGCAAGCCCTTGAACAGCAAAGTCTGTTCGCTGTTCAAGAGCTTGCTGATCAATTCTGAAGACTAAAATGGATGTTCATATTAAACGCACTCGTATAATGGCTGACACTCATAATGGATGTAGGGGCGGAGGCCATGTCAATATTGATAATTAACTATTTGACTATAATATTATATTTAAAATTCATCATTATAAATATCATCTAAATTTAATTACCAATTTTAAGTCCGTAACTCTATAATACATTTTATTGATTAAATATGCAAGTCAATGTTTTTGTTATTTCGTCAAAGACATGTCAGTGAGATGTTTTGGTAGCCTATTATAAATACCACATAAAAAGCATTTTTGGAATAAAGTATGGAAGGCAAAATTAAACCAATAAATACTATGCCAGAGATATACGTCATGTAATACATAATTATTTGTACCAATTTTTTCGCAACCTTGGCCTAAAAACACTCCGTAGAACTTCAAATAATGAAAGAAATATGATAAATACAAAATTCAATGCAAATCGCAAACGTAAAATTTAAAAAACAAATGTTGTTGTATGTAAATCTAATAAAATAACCAAACAGCAACGCTGAATATAAACACCTGAAGTTTACGAGTTTTAAAATGGCGCCAACTATTAAATAGAAGATTTATTTATCCAGGTAACATTGATTATTCAGAAATGCGCTGCTTATAATTTATAATAAAATAAGAATATTCCATAAATCAACTTAATAAAGTTCATAATAATTATTACGATTTATTATACATATCCTCTTTTGCACTTTATTATCGAACTAATGGTGAAATGAAAAAGGCAAGTTAATTATTACTAGTTAGGTAAATCCGGATTGCAATCCCTGGTAACATTAGATAGTGAAGGCTAATACAAATAACCTAAGAAGGTCATTTCCTTTATTATCAATAAAAACAATCTCTTTTAAATTAAAAATAGCCTATAACAATCGATCTGATAGTTATAAATGCTGCTGTAATAATAAACAATGTGATAATACAGTCGACTCTCGTTAATTCAAACCTGCGATAATTCGAACCTCTGTATAATTCAAAGTTATCACGAATTACCTACAAAATCTCTTTATATTTCGAGCAAAATCCATACATTTTTATGCACTTGGTAATTCAAACGAAAAAATCAATGCTATATAACAAAAAGACGCGTTAATTCGAACTCAAGGGCATTTCATATTCGACAATTCAAAGCTGCAGAGAGAAAGAGGCGGAAATATTGTAAATACAAATACAATTTTACGTCAAGTTCAAACTTGTATTAACGAGCCTTTGTTTTGTTAATATTATAATATAAAATTGGTTTGTGTTATCATTCAGTTACTCTTTCGTTGTGTATACAGATTAAAATTTTCTCTTAATCTTGAGCCCTAGAAAGTATAAATGTTTGACGATTGCTGAAAAGAAGAAGTTAATCGAAAAAGTAGAGGAAGAAAGAAGAAAAGTGATGTTGCAAAAGAATTTAAGATTTCTCTGAGTACTCTCTCAACCATAATAAAGCACAAGGAGAAAATTAATGCTGCTCAAACTGCTGGAGTACGGAAAAGAACTACTAAAGGTGAATTTCCTCGTCTGTAAGAAAGCCTGGTTATTTGGCTTAGACAGTGTAGAGGAAAAAAAGTGTCTATTAGCGGAAACTTGTTAAACGAAAAAGCAAAAGAGTTTGCGTCTATTCTATGCATCAAAAACTTTGCGGCAAGTGAAGGGTGGCTTACAATTTTTAATTGACATTTTTATTACTGATGAAACTGGCTTATTTTTCAAATGTTTACCGGATAAGACATTTATTTTTAAAGATGAAAAATGCCATGGGGGAAAACATAGCAAAGAGAAGTTGACAGTTTTAATTGCAGTAAATATGGACGGATCGGAAAAATTTAAACCCTTATTATTAGAAAAGCAATGAAACTGCGATGTTTCAAAGGAGTGAAGTCGTTTCCTACGGATTATCGCGCTAACAAAAAAGCTTGGATGACGACAGAACTTTTGAACAATTGGCTTTTAACAGTTAATGGGGACATGAAACGGCAAAAGCGGAAAATTTTACTATTTTTAGACAATTGCACTGTCCATAACAGTCCTCCTACATTGTCCAACGTGGAACTCTACGTCTTTCCGCCAAATACAACTTCCAAATTGCAACCATTGGACCAAGGGATCATCCATAATTTTAAGACGTTCTATCGCAAAGAAATTGTTAAACTCGTTTTAGAATCTATCGACAAGCAGATAACTGCAAATATCACGGTACTGACAGCTATTTTACTCATTGACAAGACATGGAGAGCTGTAACACCCCTAACGATTATCAACTGTATGTATACGAATTTACCTCTAAACTATTGTCATTGTTATAGAATAGGAGTTAATACATATATAATAATTGATCAACACTTAATAATTCGAAGTTTTATCTCACAAATTTCGAACTATTTGATATTTCAAACACTCAATAATTCGTAATATTTTAGGAGTCCCTCGAGTTTCGAATTAACGAGAGTCGACTGTAGTAATAAGGCGTTCATTACCCATTCGACGATGGATAAGAACTGACGTGTTATCGATCTCTCCGACTGCGAAGAGCCCACTGTGTATATAGTACTCAATATGTACTGAGGAAGAGAATTAACAATGTTAACATAGTTTTCTCTGCTATGAAAATGAAAAAAAAAATGAAGTTATTTACGAAAAAAGACATTATTTTATGTGCCCCCATGACTCAGTTATCTACCCTCCAACGCAATAAACTGAATAATGTTTGAATAAATGTTAAATTTAAAAATAAACATTATTCGGTTTATTGCCTTGTTTTTCATGTCTCTACCTTCCTGGACTATATATCAAAAAACATTTTTTTTAGAATTGTTTTTAGATATATCGTCCAGGAAGCGTGCATAATGTATCGTCAGACTATCGTATCTTAGGCTTTAAGTAAACTAGTGTTAATAGACAAATAAACTTCGATCAACTAAAATGGTAAGCTTCCAGAAAAGGGTTTCAGGTAATATATAGTATATCAGCCATATCATCACCAGCCCTTTTACGTCCCCACTGCAGGGGCTCAGGCCTTCCTTATGGATGGTTAAGGAGGATGGCACATGTGATAGATCCCGTGATCGACCCTTGCGAAAGTTGCTTAACGACAACGATCGCGGGCCGCGGCGCTTATCCACGACGCCATCGAGCCATATATATGGCAGTATATCAGACATATAGATGGCTGATATACTTTGTTGAAAGCAATAATTCTTACATCTTGTAAACAATAAAAATGAAATTTTTTACTCAATAATTAAGTGCGTGACTTTGCTAACGTCTTGTCTTGTCTTGATAGTAATTATGGTATTATTATTAGTAAAATTAAGTGTCGAGGTTCAAGGGGGTGTCTCGCGCAACACAAGAATTCCTGAAGAGGAATTTTCTAGCCTTTAGCACCTCAACTCCACTCTCATCTTCACGCGGTGAACCCCGTTAAGTTGAGCAACCCTGAGGAAGATTATACCCCAGTGGGAATTAAGGTCAACGGAATGACGAGAGATAGGCGGAATCAGCGAGGCATTGATATGTGGCTCGCTGATTTGGTGTTCTTAAAGGTAAAAGGAATCACCTACAGTTGCGGAAGAACCCATTTATGTGTCAATGTTAGCACTCAGTCTTAAGTTGGACTACTATCCACTCATAAAGACGTGGTGCGCAAACATTGACACATAAAGGGGTTCTTCCGCAACTGTAGGTGATTTTTGTCTATTGCAACAGAATTGAAAATGACCTTTATGTATTGAGAATACGACATAATTTATCTAATTATAATACATAATCGAAATTTATAATCAAGGCCTTCATTATCATCAGTCTATATCCCAACTGCTGGGACACAGACCTTGATGGAATGAAATGAGGAAAACTGATCATTACCCACCCCGTGGGTCCCAGTGCGGATTGGTGGGCTAGACACAGCCGGGCTCAACGTACCTTCCAAGACACGCGAGATCTCGAGATAATACATTTTTGGACTCCTATCCTATGACCGGCAAAAGTTACTTAGAAGTTATGATAGTAAATTATGAAATATGTTGGAAATGGTAACTTAAATGTAAACAATAATTATGTATTATATTTTTCTTTTAAAATAAATTGTATGAATATTACATTTTTATAATATTAACTTGCTATTTATAATCATGACGAAACATTGTGTGACTTCACAGTTTAATAAAGTTAACGTCAAGGAAGGACAAGGACCTGATTCATGTTTATTGAAATGTGACGTCACATCTCAAAATGTCACGTGACTGATTGCTTTTGGTAACACTTTTTGAAGAAAAATAACTTATATTGGTTTAATATGATCATATACTATAAGTTTTAAAACATTTTTCCCAAAACAATCAAGTAGCCAATTGCGAAAATTGTTTGACCTTCGGAACTCAGTTCGATCCTTAATATTACAAAACCAAAACTAACCTTTTTAAATATAAACGGCTCCTCTCCGTAGACAGGATTGATACCGTTATTGGGGGCGACTCTGGTCCGGAACTTCTTACGGACCGTGTCCGCCGGTAAACCGAACATATCCACCTCCACATACGTGCCGCAACGCTTGTCCGTCAACAGCTGTCCGGATAGTACGGTCACGGACAGGGAGCCGGCTATGATGCCGTCAACTGTACTCTCCGCGAACGGATCTAGACGACGATCCTGATAAACATAACACGAGGAATGAAATAAACAAATTTCACTAACTAAATAGAAACTGATATCCTAACAAATCTCAACAATAGCGGTAAAAAAGCCAGTGTTACATACACACTATTATATTGTAAACATACTCAGTTTTACATGTTTCGTAAGACCATAAACTATTATTGGTGCGTATTTTATTTATAGATATATAAAACTTATAATCATAGTACTTTATTTATTTAAACTAAATCCAAAATAATGTTTTAAGTATAGTATCCTTTATAGTATCGGTGTATTTTATTATAATATTACCTTCCGCCTCATAAATTCGGGTTTGAGCAAATATCCACAGCGACGGTTGTACTCGAAGGTGCCGAGGTTGAGCTGCATCGCCAAATCCAACGTCTGGAAGTTCAACGCCACCAGCTGGCAGCCCGCGTTCCAGAACACCTGCACATAACGAACAAATTATGTTTATATTATGTACGAACGAGCTGCTATAGATATAAAACTACTATTTCTTTTCACAGAAGTTTGGCAAGATATTGAAAATTGACTTATACCGAAGGCAAAAGGTTTTTCAGAAAGAGTAATAATAGGGTATTCTACTCCGTTTGAAATAATACTTTTGAGTGTTCATTTAAATTAAAAAACGCCGTAGAACAAATATTTCGGTAACTTTTTTTATACCCGCGAAAACGAATTAAAATTTTTAGATTTTGTAGTTTTAGGATTTCATAGCTGAAAGGGAAAACGAAACCCTTATAGATTCATCATATCTCTCCAAATTTATATTACAGTAAAATATGTATATACTGCTGTATTTTAATGAACGAAAATTGACAATGGAAAGTCAGCAATTTTTGATATATTAAACATTATGAAACCGCAATTATAATTTTGTCATAAAAACCAAAGCCTTATTAAGAAACTTTTAACGAAGCTTGCTGCACCTGAACGAGCGAGTCTGATTAGCACTGGTTACTCTTTTCGTTAATGATGCAGTTTAATTTGGATACAATATTATCCTCACCTGCGGCATGAAGTTGGAGGAGTCGAACCTGGTACCGGCAGGATACACTCGCGATAACTGATGCTTATTGTAGTTCACGAACTCTATGGGTCGCTCCTTCAACAGCGTCGTCGCTTGTTTCTCGTCGAACGATGACATTTCATAGAACCGATTCTTCTCTGTTAAGGTCATATTATTGTATTTATTTAACTAGACATTTCCACCAATGTGTTTCATGTATAAGTACCATATTGTGTTAAAAAGGATAAAATCAGAAATAATGCTAAAAAACAAATGTTAAAGCTTAAGGTAAATAAGTTTATTTGACTCAAATTTGTAACCAATATCATTATGAGCCTATAGAAAGGATGCCTGGGTAAAATAAAAATAAAAAATGTGTTTTGTCCGTTAGTTAGATAATACAAAAATTTTAGATACGTATTTTTTTACTTCAATAGAACAAGAAATAGATTAAAACAGGCATTAAAGTTGATGTGTATGAAAATGTACAAAGTCGCGACCTCATGTGTAATATTTTTCAATTATCTACCTGATGGAAAAAAGATTTAGCATCATCCCTATTGTAATCAGGACCAATGACTTAACTTGTAATTTTATGACATTCATTCAAAAACCGGCCTTTGCGAAGTCTGCTCAACTTCACTTACGCCACTGAGCTCCTTGGGCTAGAGTGAGTATGTGAATACAATACAGGGTTATTTTTTTAAGACACCAAAAACTTCACAGAATAATACAGTTAATTTATTTGAAAAGTCATTTTCGTTCAAAGTATTGACATATTGTTAAATTCATATATCAAATTTTGTTTCTATGATGTTTGCTTTCTAGTAATGCGAGACCTTTGATGTTTTCAAAACCCTGTATAGAGCCGAAGTGTACTGTTTTACAATTATCCCTGTAAAGAAATGCCAGTATTCACTCTCATTACTCTCGTACGAGCCGAAGTGTACTTACTGGCTCTATAGTTTGTGTTTTACAATTATCCCTGTATTGTGATGTCAGTACTCTCTCTCGGCACTCTCGAACGAGCCGAAGTGTATTGTGTGCACCGTTTGTGTTTTACAATTACCCCTGTAGAGAAACGCCAGTATTCACTCTTATTACTCTCTTATGAGCCGAAGTGGCTTACTGGCTATATAGTTGTTGTGTTTTACAATTATCCCTGTATTGAGATGCCAGTACTAACTCTCGGCACTCTCGAACGAGCTGAAGTGTATTTACTGTCTGTGTCGTATGTGTTTTACGATTATCCCTCTATAGACATATCAGTACTCACTCTCGGCACTCTCGAACGAACTAAAGTGCACTGGCTGTACGTAATTGACTAGCGCTGAGATCTCAGCGCCGGCGTGAGTCTCGCGCGCCTCGTCCGCCTCGCCGCCGCCCGCCTCCTCCTCGCCGGACGAGCTCTCCGAGTCTGACGACGACTCCGAATCCTTCGAGCCTTGCCGGACCAACTATTACCAAAATAATTCACTTACTATGCAAGCCAAATAAGAATTGAGTGTGTGTTTTCAAAATAAATTACTATTCTATTTAGTTATCAAATTAATATGATCAAATATGTAAGTTAAATTAACGACCAATGATACCTAAAAGACAACATATTTTAAATGAAATGACCGGATCCTGGTCAAGGTGTTCGGTGCATAACCGAACATGTAATAGTTGCATTCTGTATATCTACGATTAATAACAATGTATTTAAAGTACGTCATTGTCCGCGCTATACTGTCATCAAATCATTTACGTAAATGAGTGTATTTTTTACCGTTCATACAATCGGATGCACTCATAAATATTCATATCATAGTAAGAAATAACATTTTATGAACATTTAATAAATATAATATAATTTTCGTAATCAATTTTATCATTTAACATTCCACCAAGCTCAGGCACCAACACAAGGAATCAATTAAAACGTACAGTAATTATCAATTTGTAAAAAATACATTTAAAATAAATTAAAATATATGGTACTGATCACAATTCACTAGAACATGCGACAAAATATGCCATAAAAAATAGTACGTTATATCTATATATATATCGAGGTATTTACATATTTTCGATGTTGGCGTTATGCATAGTAAAGTAGTACTACAGCTACGATCGCAAAATTCAATTAATTTGCGTTTAGAGATACATGCATATTATAAACAAAATTACTATTTGATAATGAAATACAAAAATTAATAATTAATTAAATAGAAAACCTCTATGGGTTCGCCATTTGACGGTAGGGGGTCTGCGACAGATTTATGTAATTGTGGCTCGAAGACGAAGGTTAAAATTATCCAAGATTACTCCTTAAATTGACTCAATTTGCGAAAAAAAAGAAACTATTTTTACATTAAACAATTATTTTCTATGCCTTTTTCTATTTGAATTATTTTCTATTTGATAACTCTTTTAAATAACTCTTTTAAAAAACTGATTTAAATAAAAACTGTATTTTCTATAACGAAGTTTATAATTGTGTCCAATTTTATTAGTTTGAGGTTTAAGAGGTTAGCTATCACCTCTACCATAGGTTCATGAAACGGCTATTTTAAGATAACCTGGTCTAAGGGAAATAACATAGAATGGATCATAATGCTGATTTCATAATATTGTGTCTTACCGTTCCGGGTGGGAGTTCGCCGTTTCCTTGCGGTGGTGGCAGCTCAGGTCGCGGTTCACTCTCCTCAGATGTAACCGAATCTTCCTTCTTGTGATGATGATGGTGCTTCTTTTTGTTCTTTATTATTATCTTGTTACGAAGCAACGACGGTGGTGGCAGCTCCCCTCCTATAGAAATATAACATACGTATGGTCAACGCAAATGTGATTACATGAGGTGTACATGAGGTGTAAAAAATAGACAAACCACTTAAATTTTTAGTCTTATTATTTTTAGAACATTAACTTCAAATCGATTGCTTAGAAATAATAAATATTTATTTAACTTAAATATTTATTTAGATAGAAAGACATACTATCTTTTATTTGTCTCTTTAAGATTTCTTCAATGAATTTTAAGTCTTCAACTGTAGATATGAAATGCATGATCGATTGTAGAAAGATATTTAGTGTTTGCCTGACTGTCTGCACATATTACAATCAACTCGCGGATTGCGTTCTTATACAAAGTGTTCATGAAAAATCGTTAAATTGTGAATAAAATTTATCCTACGCCTTTTTTTTATTATTTTCTCACGAAAACATTAACTTATTCCGGTGGTTCGTAACCGGTGGTCCAAGGACCCATGGTCTGGTGGTCCATCCAAAATGGTATGTGATGTATGATAGATAGCATCTATATCTTCACGCCCTATCCCTTTCAGGATAGGCAGAGAGGACCGAACGCCACAAAGTGGGGTGGTCCTTACACACATCTTTCCCCTCAACCACTTATCATTACAGTTTCGCTCTGCCAGACACATTTGCCGGTTTTTTAGCATAACCCTTTATTTATATACATATAGATACTGTCTATTAAACAAAGTGATCCATGGCAAGACAAAAATTAGACAGATACTCCTTAATGTCGGAAAGGTTCAGAACCACTGATTGATTCATACGCAACAATTCCCATAAAAAAAAATAGTTGAAAAATTAGAAAAAATATATAATTAGAAACCGCAATCAGATGGCATTGAATACTTTACTTATAAATAACGCCAAATGGCATATCTTCTGTCATCATTAGGACGTCATCGACTCTGTAAATATCCGCAACACTAATGTCTGTCATCGGGACCACAATCGGCCCGCGTCCGGCATCTGAACGGAAGTTTGTCCTCGTAAATATTTTACTGTCTCAATCAACTGAGGTACTAAATATTTTTAGTTTTTTTTATACATAAACGTTTGTGTCTGTGTTTATTTTTTGCGATAATATAATACTAATTTTACTGCCAGTAATTTACAATTATTTTCATTCCTTGATATAATAATCATTTTAAACATGAATTTCCCAGAAGCCAATTAAAGCCTGCGCTTTCCATAATCCCAGGATGTTTTTAATGCGATTTATGATAAATAAGGAAGTTCAAAAAACAGCCAAGTCATTTGTCATTATTCATAACGCGCGGGCATTTAGAATAATACCCTAATTTATAACTGTGTCTATAACATAAACGATTTTAAAAACTTAAACAAAGAATCGCAAAATATACCATATGCACATAATATCCGTTGGTAATAGGCCAACGAAAACAACTAGTCTAGATTTGAGACTGACGATTTAATGGACACAGAGCTGCTTTTTCAAACAAATAACCGACATTTTGTTTTCATTCATTTTATATCTTTTGTTTTCACGGTGTTTGTGTGATTTATTCCAAACGTTATAAATTAAGAGACTGATTAATTTGCCTATTTATAAGCTCTGATGTATAGCGGTTAGTTAGGTGTGAACACGCAGTTATAACTAAGCTAAGACGTGTCGGTATTACATAAAGCACGCACATGTCACGCAAGTATTATAATGCGAGCACAAATGATTAATCACGACCAAACAGAGCTTAATAAAATATACAAAGGCATTATCCCAAAAAAATACTAAAATAACTTTTAAAGAAATTAATCTAAGATAATGTTATAATTTGGGTTCTATTAAACTTTTTGTTAATATAGTAATATATATTAACAATAATATTTATAGAAATCTTCTTTGAACATTTTCAATAGTAAATACGTAAAAGAGTTTTTAAAGTTAAAGAGTTAATTTTTATTTCTTTGTTTGTAGATTTTATGGAATGAATCACAGGTTTAGTCTTGGCAAATTTCAAATAAATTAAAAACATGATTACTATATCTCTTTCTACCCGAAATTTTCATACCTGGGTTAGATTTCCAGCGGAGCAATAGGGAAAATAACTTTTTGTATATTGTCTGGGGTCGTGGGGCGTTGTTTTGGATTTCCTCTAACATTAACTATATTATGTTCCCAGGGCACTCGAGTCGTACAATATATGTGATACTATGTAAATGTTTGTGAACAAAACCTCAATTTCGCACATTTTTAAATATCACGTTACCTGGTTCCAGTTGATGTGAATCTAGCGGCCTGTCGAGCAACATCTCGCCGAATATATCCCTGCAATAATTGGCAATCTTCGCTTGCTGGCGCGGGTTACAGTGATTCTCAAAGCTCAGAATCACCGGGTAATCTGAGGTCTTGAAAGCGCTTTCAGCGATTGCCTCTAGCACTTCCTTGGCGCTTATCTCCGGCACAAATGTGTAACCGTGGACTATCACCGGTTCTTCTGTCCGACCGTTCCAGAAGTCAAGCTCGACGCACCTACGTATTGAGATAATACTTATCATATTATGAGGTAAAGGTGACAAATGCAATAAAACAAATCTATAAAAAAATTACTACGAATTTACATAACTTTTTTGTAAAATTCACCAGCAAGCGTAGCATAACGAACTCGACAATGTTTTGTCTACTCAAATGTCAATTTTCTCGATTGCGCTCATACAATAACTCACTCTCGATCCGAGAAAGTGACATTTGGACATTTGACATTAGACAAAGCGTTTCCCGAGTTTGTTATGCTACACGTGCAGCAGATCATTAGGTCAGATTTCCCTGACAAGTCGAACAATAATAAGAATTCTATAATATATAATTCAATGATTTTGTTTAAAATTTGTTGAGAACCTACGATTTCATTGATGCGAACTACTGACGCATTGTTGAGTCAGAATAAAAGAAAACTAATGCTACAAAATGTGTACGTATTAAATTAGTCGTATGGACAATATAAACATTCGATATCTAGAAAACTAGATGATATTCTTGTTTGTGTATTGTGAATATTTGTGATGTTTGTAACTTCCGACTAATTTGGGCAAATGTCCAACCTTATTAGATTGAAGTGTTACTTATTCACCCCTAAAGTGAATAAGGGTCGATGCATATCAGACTCAAGACGTGTCTCGTCGGTCGCGTAACATCAGAAATGTCAACTTATATGATATCACAGTCGAACTTGTACAGTCAACGGATATTCCGTCGTCAACTAACGCAATATGCGTCCGTGAGGCGTTTGATCATCCATCAGATTTGCACCGACCCTGATTTCGTATTCGATTATAAGGCACACTAAATTCCCGCAATAGCGATGAGCAATCGCTATACTTTGCAAACATAATACCTATATAAATTAAATTTGAATAAACTTCGCTTCATTCAATAATTATACCAACACCCCGTGTCTCATCTGTTATGGATCCTATCTAGAACAGACTTATATTAGGCCTTACCAATTACTGTGATACAGTAAACACATTTCAGGATCAATATACATTTAATCTATTGGATAGAAAATTACTGTTTTGTATGAGGAAGCGTGCTTCAATTCAGCTTCCCGCATCAATTCCACTTTCATTGAAAAAACATGTAAGTGCAGAAACAACAAAACGCAACCTGCAACATTGCTAACGCCACCGTATAGCCGACTTTTTGTTTAAAACCATTGAGTTTATAGCAAAAAAACAAAAAACTACTGAATACCGGAAATCCAACTGTCCGTGCCGTGATGTTCCAGCGGGTATTTTATTATGCAAATTACTGAGTACGCCATATGTTCATATTGCTTCATTACTACAACACGGGTCTCTTCAAAGAATATTCATGAATTTTTAAAACGCAAAGAAGTATAACTTTTTTATCTACGTGTACGAGATAAAAAAAAGTTCTTCATAACAGACCCTTCAGAGTAGGCAGAGAAAACTGAACGCCACAAAACAGGATCTTTCATTACTTTGACGTACATTTTACCTTTTCATACCTATTAGGATTCTGACGTCATTCTCTGTTAATGTGAAAAAATTGGGATGATTACTAATTTTTGTTTATTTGTCCTTCAGGTAGATTATTGAAAGTCGTATTTTATCGTAATCAATAACCGTAATTTGTTATATTTAAATGTCGTATGACGTCACACCTTTATACATATAGTTGTGACGTTGCGAGCCACCACTGTATGCTCCATTATATGTCCATTATCTAAGCCTATCTTTAATACATATATTTAATATAACGACGTGTGGTAATCCGAGATACATCGTTTAAAATCTTCTTTAATATAGCGAACGGCCCAAAATGGAGTCCTGGTTATTTTTTGAGCATTATCATTATATGGGTAACAAAGTGAAGGGTTGGCTAAAATAGATACGAAAATAATGAAAACGACTTCATTCTAAATTCAATATGGTGGACTAGTAATCTTTAAGCATTCTCATAATATAGTTGTCGTATAAAAGTGTTCGCATTAAACTTTAGGATTCTATTAATATTGTAATTGCGAAAGTGTGCGAGGGAGGATAGACGGATGGATGTAATATACGTTTGTTTGTTACTCTTTTAAGTAAAAACTACTGAAACAGATTTTGATGAAATACTGTATTTTTCTTAGCGTGAATTACATATACGCTACTTTTTAGTCCACTAATGAGTTTTGAACGAATCACGCGAGCGAAGCCGCTGGCGGAAAGCTCATATTGAAAAAAAAGTTTGTCATGATCAATAAATCTTTTTCGATTTTGAAGTCGATTAAAAACTCATTTGAATTGACTTTTCAAAAGCAACGTGAAAGCTATGTACCTGTTACATGCCAATTCGACAAGTCCGAGTACTTAAACATTTAAAAAGATACATAAAATACATAAAGGTCACAAACACACTGCAATTAGCACCTAAAATACGATAAGTGTTTCATAAATGTGCCCGTTCTAATCGTAATCATTGACTTTTAATACCTGATTCGACGTGAAAAGTACTCATGTTTATTTTGGGATGTTCTACGAGTGTTACCGTTAGAGTCGACATCAAAGGATGTTATTGGAATCGGAACGTGTATATCTCTTAATGGTCCGACTGAACGAGATCGCGAATAGAATGTCCATATTTACATAGGTGCCACTTATTGAGACTAGACAGATAACTCAATAACACGTATTTGAACTGATTCGTTCCAGTAGCGAAAGAAAGGGAAGCATTATGAAAGTAAACGTAAACTTACGTAGGAATAACTGTCGACATGTTGTAAACGAAACTTGTATTGAATTTGTGCGTTGATTATTTAACGTCAAGGATTTTTCAAAGCCAAAAATAAAAAGAGAAAATATCAAATTTTCAGTATAATTGGTGTAGATTCGTCGTGAAAGTGTAACAGGCAGACAGATTTACTTTCGTGTTTATAATATCAGTAAAAAATATGGTATTACGGTTTAGTAAAATGATGTTTTAATCGATTACTTTTGCTATTTTAGTAAAATGGATATTATTTTCGGTTTAGGTACAATATGATGGAGAATCATTTTTCTTCAAAAAATGAATATCCCTATTGCTATGATAAAATTTAAGATGGCAGCTGATTCGAGAAACATGCAAAGTAAAATAAAAAATCGAAATAAGATGATAATATTGAATATGTTTTTGCTTCAGACATTTAAGTGATTTCTTTTTCTATGAACTTCACAGGTCAGCGTTTACAAATAGCACTTAATCTACAATTTTTCAGCGGCTTCCCTATGAATGTTTCTTTTATTTCTCTACTAAATTATCGAAGGACCACCTACAAACGTCAAAAACACCAAAATTGTGCTTTATTCCTCTTGACATTAAACGCATAGTCGAATAACAAACTTACAGTGTCCCATGCGAGCACGGAAAATGTTTACGTTGGCTGAAAGTTTTATTGACACTGTGTGTGTACACAACTTCATAAATTTTGTGTGTCCAGTTCTACAAAATGTACAGAAATTAAGCTACTAAAATTGTAACTGTGTGAAAGACAAATATTGTTTTGATGCTTGAAATTCTACGGCTTTCTATAGTACTTTTTAAGTAGGCTAATAATAACATCACTGCTGGGGTCAGACCCACCCTATAGATGGTATCAAATATAATAGAGAAAACGTGTCATGGCCCACCACGCGGGCCTATTGCGGATTGGTGAATGTTAACGAGTAATAAGCCTTTCGCTCGGTGTAAGTAGCTCGGTGGCGAAGTGGATAAGCGCCGCGGCCCACAATCGTTGTCGTTAAACAACTTTCGCAAAGGTCGGTCACAGGATGGGTGACCAAAAAATTATTATCTCGAGCTACTCCGTGCTTCGGAAGGCACGTTAAGCCGTTGGTCGCGGTTGCATTTGCAGTCGTTAATACCCTCCAATCCGCATTGGGCCAGCGTGGAGGGTCGTGGCCCATCCTCCTTAACCATCCATAAGGAAGGCCTGAGCCCCTGCAGTGGGGACGTAAAAGGGTTGATGATGATGAATAAGCCTTTCGAAGCACGAAGCAGCAATAGATAATTAAATTTTGGTTATCCATCGAATGCATTTAACGTAATACCTATTTAAATAAAACTTGCTTAAGTTAAGAAGTGAGTATTACATTGAAAATAAGGTAATTGCAACTGTTGACTCCGTTAATAAAACTCATTGGATACCTCTGATATATGTAATCATTATAAAGGGAACTTACAACTGCCTGTCTACTACAAATTCCTTTTGTCAAAAATAAGAATATAGTTGAAAATTATCACTGACTGAATTACTATCCACAATACATTGTTTTTCTCCACTTGATTTTAAGCCATAATTTTTGAGGGTAGAGTTAAAATTAACTGGAGCAATTTAACATATTATGGTAACTTGACGTGTTACCGTCTGTACAAAAAAATAAGTTTATGATATTGGTAGCTATGGCAACATTTCAGTAATAAAAAAACGTTGTCAATTATTATGCGATCAGTATATATTTCGGCCCGCTCAACCCCTTACGTTCGCTGTGATTAAATATTTCCTTTGCCATATCCGATTCTTGAGGCATGCGTGCAGTAGTTAGTATGTAGTTTGATACGAAAAACTTGTTTGTACAGAAGTTGGATTACGGGCTTAGCATGAACTGCTATATCTGGTGCTGCTTAGACCTAGACCTTCCAAAAGTACCTTCCAGAATAACAGGGAAGGTGAGATAATCTTCGGGTTACCCAATCGCAAACCGAACACACTTTACACTGCGTCATCGAGTTCACCGTCGACAATAAAGATAGAATTTAAATTTTTATCGCTAAAATAAAAGGTTTTACATACATTTCTTCAGACGAATTTTACGAATCGCAGTCGAGGCATTAACAAATTTTCTGTTACTCCCATTTTTTCGCTACAGAATTTTTTATAAAAATATAATTTCCAATATATATAGGTATATCCCACACAACAGCAATTAAGGACGATAGCCACCGATAAGGCCGATAGCGGTGCTTTCGATGCCATGTTAATTGGTCGAACTATTAAAAACGCATCGCGAGTACATATAGATTTTAATAACGACCTCATTAATTTTACTTATCCAGATAAGCCCGTATGTGCATACTGTGTACGTGTATTATAGTCAGCGAAATTAAATTGCAGTGTGACGCAATTGTTAACGTGTTTGCACGGCAAACCCAATGTTACTACCATTCCTCCATATGTACTTTGTTTTTATTAACCCATAAAAATAAGGGTGAGGTTCTTTCCATGAAATGAATGTGTTTTCTCTACTTGTAGCCAAGTAATTGGATATGGTTGTATCCATTGACCGATATGATGACTATTGATTGAATTAATGAAGCCGAGTGGGTTATCAATACTTTAGAGCAAGTATTAAAAATGATTTGTATACTGATAACCTCCAAGAAACAGGGTGTGAATTAACTTTTTTGCCATCGACATCTTATCTTAAATTATAATTGCATCGGCGTAGCAGTCGCCTGGAAGAAATTCCTTTTACGTTTACCAAAGGTTCGTTTACAAAACCAGAATTTTCGACTCAGATTAGGGGCCGACCATTAATCACGTGAGGCTTGAAAGGGGGGGAGACATTCGTATGGAAAAAGTTACCTGCAACCAGCTAGGAGACTCTGGCGGTAGATCTCAACACTGGACTTGCCGGTGATCTGATGACCAGTTAGGTAAGTGTTGTGGGAGCTGTTGATGAAGTAATGCGCCAATGGTTGCTCCATATCGTCACACAGGTCCAATTTATTGGGCGCCACTATCGGATTATCTTCGGACATTAGAAACCTGAAACATTGGTACGAGTTGTAGGAAAAATTATTGTAATAACGCATCTTTTTACTCTATTATTTGTGAATAAATTATGATCATTATTATTATGTTTTATCTATTATTTTAATCAATTAACATTAGCATTTGCTTAGGTTTATTCGAATTGTAGTAATACAACGCTTTTCTCAAGATAAACCTATTCATTAGGTAATATGGATGATTTGTCCTTATTCAAATGTGGAAGTGGTATTAATGCCACTTCCACATGTATTAATACTTTGATTTTTGCATTTTGAACTGTGTACTAATAAAATAGGCAGGAAATACCAATCTTACCGGCATTATAACTAAACAGTAATATAACAAACCTCAGAAATCCATCAAAGGTGAGCTGGGAACGCTGCTGATGGTATTTGTTATGTTCGTACGCTTTGATCAGGTCCCTCGCCCGCTGGATGTCCGCGTACGGGTGCAGGATCTCGTTGAGCCGCGGATCACGCTGGACTTCATTCAGGAAATCCACTAGTTGCGTCGCCGACAAGTACGGTTTGCCATCCGTTCTAAAAGAATAAACTCAATTTAATATTTTTTCAAAACTGACCTGATAGAGGGATTGCTTATTGCCTTTATGAAATACAAAAATGAACTTTAAAACGAGCAAAGTCGCTTCCTTTGATCACTGTCGCTTCCTTTGTATGATAAACCAAAACCCGATGATAAATACTCTAAATGCTTGTGTTAAATTCGTCATATAAATATCTCTACGGTTCTCTTTATCTTGGCAGAATTTCGATGTTCCTAAACTTATTTGGGACTAAAGAATATTATGTATTTTATTATGTATATACAATTTATGTCTTAACATTATTCTAACTTTTAAAATTGAGTTTGATATTGAGTTTTAAATGCACATTATAATATATAATATTTGAACGAGTGATACACTGACAGAAATAAATAAAAATATTGAAATACAGAAGCTAAAGCGTTATTAAAAAGGAACTAACTGCAGCGGAGCGCAAACAATATGTCGCATTCAACTTTCTGGGGGAACATTTCAATAGCCGCTATGTAATAAAAGAAGAATTCACTACCGCTCTGCTGTGCTACAACAGATATTTTTCCTATAAATCCCGACTTAGTTCCAGTATACCGCAGACAATACCTACCGAGCATACTGTCCGCTAACTGCGATTCCATTTGGTGCGGCACAAAAATAACCAAGTGAGTAAACAGTGCAGATAGTATCCTTTGTTCTGTAACGACTCCCGGTAGTGATTTTACAGCGGCAATCAAATAAGTGAAAGATTCATACGAACGCTCAGACAGAGAGATGGATATTACCAATACATAAGGTCTTGAATTAGCTTAACCTAGCGTCGATTGGTGAAATCACTTCGATCGTTATTCGCGAACTAATTGCTCTATTCATAACGGAGCGCTTGGTGTATTATTAGTTTATTATGTCGGTCAATCGTTAAAGGGAACGAAAGTTAACAATATAGATCGATATATGACTGATACTCCAAATAAAATATTAAGAAGTTTCAATGCGCTTGGCTAATTTTTACATCATAAATGACGTGTATTTAAAAAGACATGAAAAGTAGATTAGGTGTCAACAACATGGAATATTCCTATAAATACTTTGATATAATTTAATATAATTTAATGTAACAACTTTAAGTTGTTAATTAAATTTTAAACAATAAAATTCTGTTAGTAGAATTCGAAATAAATTACTAAAATGTGTCGTTTTGCAGTAGGTAAAAATGTGTTGCTATTTACAGGTAATTTTTCTACCTGTGCTTCATCTGGAATTCAGCATTCAGAAAATGTGGTTCTTCGCCACCTCCACCCCACCAGTTCCTGCCTCCACCCAGGAGGGTACACCACAGCGGGTTTTACCAAGTAGACCGATCTCGCTTGAGTCTGTCCTTGTCAGGACAAATGTGGGGTCGGAGAGCCTTACTAGAGACTTAAGGTGCATTTGTCCACTGAGTTATCAAAGAAAAGGCTGACTATGTGCAAAGGCTCTTACCTACTAGACGCTGTATTTTAAGTAAACTAAAAAAATAAAATTGTTGCATGTAAATTTAAACAACAATCAATTATGAATTTAAACTTACAATTTGTTGAATATCGTTTGTACTTCAGTACGCTGGGTCAGGTTCTTGTAGAACGAAAAGAAGTCTTCGAACATGAACTTGGTCTGCGAGATTGTATCATTCTTGCCGGTGGGCAGACCCGACTCACTGAGTGCCTTCTCCACTCGTTTCTTGTCCTCCTTGTTTTGGGCGAATATGCGAACAATACTGGAAAAGGTTGTCTCATTAAAATTTAATTATTATATAGTACAGCACTAAGTCAATTAGAAACTCAAGTGTTATTAGAATCAAAGTTAACTGTAAAAGTAATCCTATATTTAGCAACCTCAACATGCAGTTTGTAGCTGCAAGATAACAGTGTTTCATCCGGGTAAAGACGATGAACTGATTCTTTATTAACCGATATGCATCAGCTTGCTGTTTTGTAACAAAAAAAGTCTCGAGCTCAACGTCAAGGGAAGCACCGTCATAAAATAAAATCTACTTCAAAAGGTAATAAAGATGTTATATGATCGAACCTATATGCTGTAATAACTCTGCGCACTACGTGGAGTTCGAGAGTGTTTTTATTACAGAATAGCACTGTAAGAGAAGTTGGTGTTAATTACTGCAGATTAAACCAGGACTAATAGCTCAACGTGGATCGAAGGAGAGAAGAGCTTAACATAATACATTCCGATCACCGACGCTAAACCATTCCAAAAGTTGTTTAAAGGAATGCAAATTTGAGATTTTTTTAATTCCATCTGATAAATAGATAGAGATTAGATTTTTTAATTCCATCTGATGATAAATAGCAGTATTCTCGCCAAGTCGAGCGCGAAGCAACACTGCCTTACCATCCTTTTCTGGAACCATATCGCCGCATTATCAAGTCCCTATTTGAGAAACCCTGGATGGGATTGAAATTTTGGTCATCTAGTAAGCTATAATAATCAGTAATCACACACTTGCAATCCAAACAGGTCTAGAGATTTCATTACTTTTAAGAAATAAACTAGCAGCTCCAATGAGACTTGTCTATTTTTTACAGAATGTTTTTGGTGTAATAAGAATGTTTGTAACACGTCTCAGCAGTATCACCCAATATTCTTATAAACACCAACGTGACGTCACGTAAAATTTTACAAGACATCATAATAAATAGACAGCACAAAACGGAAACAGAACATTATCTCGTATCAACCACTTAAATACTCATAATCATAAGCTGAAATCAAACGTAATTGATTTGGCACGAGTCCATCTAAACTCCATCTAACACGTGGAAAGCTCGTCGCGGTAAAGATTATCCTGTGAACCTACAAAGTTGCTCATCGGTAAAAGTTGGATAATTTAATGTTTTTTTTTTTTATTACATTCAATTTCATGTATATATAACGTGCTGTTATAATATATTCGAACATTTATTAATTGGACGTTTGTGCAACTGACCGAATATTGCGTAACTGTAGGCTTATCGAGCAACTACACTTACATCGAATTCTTGGACATCGGATTCAATCAGAACGTTTGATACTGTAATCCAATGATGAGGAAGTAGATGGGATCGTATTATAGTTTCACGCAAAAGCCCCGGGTCATCATTTGTTTGCCCTTTCCCTTTTTTTATTATTTTTGGGGTCGGCGCAATACGTATTCTTCTTCCATATCTCTCAATCAGGTGTCACGTCAACATTCACTCCTTTTTTACGCATTTCATCTTTCACACGATGTAACTTTCTATGGTCTTCCTCTCCTCACATCTTCCACCTACATTTACGGTAGAAACAGAATGAAAACTAAAAAAGGGAAATATTTAAAAGCAAAAACAACATCTGCTTGATCGCTTCTCTCAACCATTATTCATTGATCATCATCTTAAAGCGAATGCAAATCTTTTTTTCAATAATATTGAATGATGAATGGGCTATCTCACTGCATGATGTATTACTATACTAATATTTACTAATTAATTTTGATTTAATAACACTAGCCGACAATTTTGACACTTTTTTTTTGCTCTGAAACCAAACTTGTTTTTTTATGTTTCTTTGATATGGTACATATATAATCTAAATATAAAAAAAATTTGCTAGGTCCAGGTTAAGAGAAAAATAAAAGAAAAGTCTTTACCCTATAATTTATATTTTTTTGTACTTCTTCGAACTTCTGCTGTATTGGTAGTCAGGATTATCACGTAAACATGTCCAGCAATAGTCTGCCAGCATGCTAGGAGTCCACTTGCCTTGATACCTTTTCTCCATATTCAAAATATCTTGATGAAATCTCTTCCCATGTTCATCACTGACTGCACCTAAATTGGGAGGAAAGAAATCCAAGTGGGAATGAAGAAAGTGTATTTTTAGGGACATGTTACAGCCTAAAGCCTGAAAATTCGTAAGAAGGCTTGATACAAGTTGTTCATAATCGGATGATTTGGTGTTACCCAAAAAATTTTTTACAACCTCAACAAACGAAAACCATGCTCTTTTTTCCAACGTATTTAATTTGGCGACAAAGTTTTGATCTGTCTGGCCCCACAAAAATCCCTTCTTTTAGTTTCGCATCACTAAGTCTCGGAAATATACTTTTGAGGTATTGAAAACCTTCTCCCTGTTTATCCATGGCTTTTACAAAATTTTTCATTAAGCCTAATTTTATATGAAGGGGTGGCAATAAAATATTCTCGGGCTCAACAAGCGAATATTGCAAATAAAACAGCAAAGTTTTGTGTAACCAGCTTGTATGCCTAGTAACATCCCAACTACTTTTAAATCAGCACAAATCTTCCAAGAATGTTCTGCATACTGTATTGTTTGTAGTAGATTTTTGAGATTTTCATAGGTTTCTTTGACATGCACTCCATGCGCTAGAGGTACAGATGGAAATTCGTTACCATTATGCAACAAAACCGCCTTCAAACTTATTTTCGATGAATCAATGAATAGTCTCCACTGATCAGGTGAATAGGTAGAAGACATTTTTTTCATAAGCTCATGTACATCTTTGCTAGATCGTTTTCCTTTTCAAAGAAATCCACAACACTACTATGTCGTTTTCGATAACTACAGATTCTTGTCTCCGGATGCAATAAATTCCATTGATTTAGTCTAGAAGCTAAAAGTTCTGATTTCTCTTTTGGTAAATCAAGGTCACGAATCAGATCATTTAGTTCACTTTGAGTTATCAGATGTGGCTGTGTTGTTGACCTTGTTGGTGGCTCATAGTCATCGTCGTCAAAATCAGCGTGATCGGAAGCACAAACATCAACATGACTTTCTAAGCTACGACTACCACATGAAGTTGACGGTTCGTCAGAAGTTGAGGTCGTTGGAGTTTGTAGGGTATCCGGTTGTGACATAGACGATACATCGGGGTACTTTATAATATTTTTAAACTTCGACTTCATTCCAGTAATGTTAGTTTAACAAAAATAACAATCATTTACATGATTTTTTGTTCTCGCCATATAGCTGGCATAGTAAACGGCAATGGTGTGGGAGTACCTTGAAGCCATCCTGCGAGGTACCTTGAACATCTTGAACACAATAAACTCGGACTCCAAGGTTTACTTAGACTTTCTTCAGCGCCAAATCCAAAGTGCAAACGATACGCTTCCAACAGCCGTGGCGAAAACTTTTTCGAACTTGAGCGTGGATTAAAGTCTCCGCACACAAAACAAAATAAATCTGGTGAATTTTTACACTTCCTGGGCATTGTCTTAAACAATTTAATACAAAAACAAGGAAAAAAATTGAGATGTGTACGAGTTAACGACGTAAATGCAAAGTGTCAAAATATATATTTACCTAACCAAAACAACAGCTGACGTAGTTATTAATCAGAATGTGGGTAGTTTAATTCAGAACACCTATAGGAGGAATAAATTATAGAAATAAATAATAAACAGTTAGTTGCGATATGCGATAAGTTAATGCGAAGAAAACAATTTTTAAAGTGGCCAACTGGTCGTTTTTTGGTCATTTAAAAAAAAACATATTTTCGTAATCGGACCTGAGAATTTTTTTTCAGTATTTTTTTAAGGATATACTTACTAATAGGAACCAAAATATATAAGTTTTATTTCAGAGCAAAAACCATTGTCGGCTAGTGTAATCATCGGAAATACTGATCCGATAATGCAAATTCTTTCACCTACGGGAAGCTACATCACACGCGGATGATATGAGCTATAATTTACGCGGGCGTAATTGTGGGAAAACAGATAGTCTAGCAGTAATGCTTTGTCATATTACAAATTTGCTCTTCATTTAGTGCCAATAACTAAGCATTACCATTATAGTTATAACAATATACCGCTTAAAACAATAAATCAAATCACAGAACATAGAGAGAGATAATGTTGTGTGAATCAAATATTTACTACGTTTTAACGGCCTATGTCATTGATGGTTTAACATCGATAAACGTTTTGTCATTATGGTATTCCTTGACTTCCATCCTTCGATCAACAAGCTGTCGCTAGATTTTTTAAATTAAACTAACAAATAAGCTAATCGGCGTTATCTCAATGATAGCAATTCTTTTGCGCAAACTTGATTGCATGTATTTAGTTTTTAGTCCTGTCAAATTGCGTTTTCCATCATAAAACACCATTAACGATCCAATCCGCGCAGACTTCATTCAATCAAAACACAAATTACAAATCATTGAAATCAAACATTCATAAGAAATTATCTACAGGATAATAAAAAGCCAAAGTCTTTATTCGTCTAATATTAAAAACTAGCAGATCTGGCGTACTTTATTCTGAATATTAATGTTAGTATTTTTCTCTTCAAGTTCGAATCCTTCTGACTTCAACGAGTGTATTGGTGCAACCGTTTGTTCCCGAGTATTACAAAGAACATATTTCGCGTTCCATTTTTAGTAAAGTATAATAGCATTATATTCCTTACATTAAAATTATCAAGAGTTATGTAATGTCACTATCCTATTATTAATATTATAAATATGAATGTGAGTTTCTTTGCTTGGATGTTTGTCGGTCAATCACGCCGAAACTACTGAACGGATTTTGATGAAATTTGGTATACAGATAGGGTATTAGCTGACTTAGATAATAGGATACTTTTTATCCCACTAAACATTTCCCTAGGGTCGGCGCGGGCGAAGCCGCTGGCGAAAGCTAGTAGGAAATAAAGCAACCTAGGCTCTCAACCCGTGGTAGGAAAGGTTGTTTTAAATTATAATTACCTCGTCACAAAACGTACAAAATCAAGGTTCATGCAATTAGGACGGGAACAATGATGTATATAAAGTTTATCATAATATTCGAAAATGGGTTGGGAAACGCCAGGGATAAGTTGAAGCCGTAAAATTATGAATAATGAATGAAATAAATCTCTGGGACTAATTAATGAACTTTGCGCTCCGAATGTATTAACCGTAATGTGATAATTATGAATATAAAATGTTTTAAGTACTAAATGGAGCATTATTGGTTTATAACATCACTAGCTGTTATCCGCAGCTTCTCCTGCGCAGTCAAGAGAAATAACAAATATCCACATCGATATCGCAGGATATTATGGACGTCTAGCTTTTGATTTGCCAGCAGAGGGTAAGTCCGCATGAAAGAGACCCACATAACCTCGTTTGTAAAAAAGAAAAGAAAAAACCAATGTTTCGACACTATGGTTGAAATTCACCAGTTTTAAATTGTAGGGAAGCGAAATGAGTAAACTGTTTTATAAAACTCAGCACTTGCTAGTCACTATATGAACATTTTTTATCTTCTAGGAGTCGAATTTAGGTTGCCATTTTTTTTTCATTAACCTCTTTTACCTTAGTCTAGACGAGAGGTTGACAACCTACGGCTCTTTAGAAGTTTCGGGTATCTAGTTCCATAAGCATTCATTTATTACTTCAGTATTAAAACCCTTATAAATCGTGCAATCAGTATCGATTGCTTATAATTTTATTATGTATTCAGTATTTGTTGTTATAGTGACAAAAGAATTTGCAGTACATCATTTGTAATAAATACATCACCATGGTCAAAAAGAATAGATAAATTCTAAGTACGCAAAATTCTTTTGGAGTTGAATGGTTAATTCCTTCGATTTGCGATTGTAGAGATTTTTTAAAAGCCGATAATTATATATATGTCCCATTTGGAACTTAATTCAAGCTGTTTTATCCCTATTGTATCGGCAGCAGATCCACAAATCCGCACAGAGCCTTCTTTTCTCCTTATAACAGGCATGTGTCCCAGTAAAAGGGATATTAATTTCATTAAGTATTAGGTCTTTTCCCGCAACTTTGCCTGCGTAAATCATAGTATGTATTAATCGCATATGTAGCTTACCATAGTTGACATCGATTTTTAAAATCGGTCCAGTCATTTCGGAACCTATTTACAGCAAACCACCAAATATTTAAAACGTTATTTTTTTATAATATTACCTCGTGTTCATAAGTTTTGTGACAAAATAAAAGTTGCGTAATATTTTAAATAATTTACTTATATTTCTAAAATTTTCAGTAACCATTAAATAGATAATAATCAACAATAAAATATATATTTTATTCAAAATGGCCGCCTTTGTTTTTAATACAGGCACTTAGACGATTTAACCAGTCATCGATGGCGGCACAAATCTTTTCTAGCGGAATTCGCTTTCCTTCTCGAACAAGGGTACGGCAGGCCCTGAGCTCTAATTCAATCCATAAAGAATAATCCAGCGGGTTGATGTCGGGCCTCGAGGAGGGCCTCTCGTCCGCCGCGATGAAGGCCGGTACATTCTTCCTCAAACAAGCTTGAGTGCTTTTGCCTTATGGGATGGCGCCGAGTCTTGCTGAATAACCCAAATCCTTATTGTGAAATAACTTATCAGCAAGGAGTTTCACCACGGGCTCTATAATGACAATCTAATAATTGTTTGGCTTTCACCTTGACACCTTGTTGGCAGAAATGGAGTGGAGTGACACCACACGAATGATTAGCGCGGAGACATTCCGTGCAGAATTTGGGACATCCTTGCTACTTTTAGCGTACACTTTATTAATTTGTCGGTTAAACTTTTCTTCGAAATTAAAAATTTTCTCGTCGGTGAAGTGTATCTTCCTAGCATCATGTCTCCTCAGCACCAATGGACAATGTTCGCGACGTAGCTTACGAAGACGATCGTTAAAAATGAACATTTCTACGACTATAGGCCTTTACCTTTTACATTAAGATAATATTTCATTATTTTGTTCACTGAAACGCGCGAAGCGAGCGAGTTTCTTCTGAGTGCGACATGGATTTCGGCGAAGTCTCTCCGGATGATTTTGATGTTCGCAGGCGTCCTCACAGTGCGTGGTCGGCCACTTCTTTGGCAATCTTGTAGAGAACTTGTCTCTTTGTACCGCTGTATTACGTAATAGACAAAGTTACGGCTTACAGGAAAACTTTTCAGCTCGCGGAAAATCTGCATCGGTTTTTTTCCCTCCTTAAATAGCGAAATAACAGTTGCACGTAATTGTTTTGTTCCATCCATCACGAGAAAATAAAACAAATGAATTTGCGATACAAATAAACTAAAAGTTAAAATTCCAAATCGGTAAAAAAAATAACAGACAGTAACATTTTATTTTATTGTTTCAGTAAAAAGTTTGTCTCAAATCTTATGAACACACGAGGTAGTGTTGGCGAGTGAATAGTTTAAAAACAACATAGACTAACTTCTTGACTAGTATCTTCCCAGACTTATCTGCTTTCAGGACTATCTTCGTATGTAGCTTCTCGAGAAATTTAATGGTGGGATTGTTCAGCTGGTTTAGATTATACGCCAACGCGAACAACTCCTCCGTCCACATCTGTTGAAAAGAAATTGCCAAATTAGTTTCTTATAAATTATAGTGAAAAGAATATATCAATACTAGCTTTCCAACAGTTGCTTCGCCCGCGTAGTTTCTAGGGAACCGTATGGTGCGTTAAAAATTAACCTTTTTTTAAAAAAAAAGTAGTCTATATATTAATCCAAGTAGAGAATTATGCAATTTTCATATAAATCCATTCAGTAATTTTTGTGTGGAAGAGTTACAAACATTCAACTTTCTTTTTCTTCATCTGGCTTATTCCCACTTACTTGGGGTCGTCTCCAGAGAGGTCCACTCTGAACCGTCTTTGAGTCTATATTATAAAGTTTTAAGTCTTTTTGATGTGATCTACATAAAGTAATAGCCTTGCGCGATTTTACGGTGCTTTCTAGTGTTCCAGCACTTTACTAGTCGAGTGGGTAAATGGTCACACAAAATTTCACAGTTATACTATTAGTAGGAAGTAGAATAAATATTAGACAATATGACAAATTGTGACGAACTCCGTGGTAAATTTGATAATAGCTATATTACTCGTAAATTTAATAAATAAGGGAAAAAGAAGCAATGTATTGTTTGCGTGTTTCCTTTATGTAATATGTGTCCTTTGTCATACCTCACCTCTACCGAGTGAACTTAAAATTATAGATCCACATAGCTAGCCCAATTTTAAGGCTAACTGTATGGATCTATAATTGGTTATCTGATTTATGTATTGATACTGTAAGTTCATTTATGCAACCGTTGATCTACCATGAAAAAAAAAAAAAAAATAAAAAAAAAAAAAAAAAAAAATTACATGTAGCGCATTGGTTAGCGTGCTCGATCTATTATGTGAACGTTAAGCAACAAATTTTGTTATTTACTTAAGACATGTCAAACTGATGATCCCGGCTGCATCTGCAGTCGTTAACACCCACCAATCCGCACTAGACCCTCGTGACGGGTTATGATCCGTTTTATGATTCTGACTCTATTCGTAGAAAAGTCAAATAATATGATGATTGTGGAGTAAGAGAAATATTTATATTACCTATTTATTTTATTTTTACTACAGTAACCATTAAGGTAAACTTTACAGTAAACTATAATAACATTCTAATTCTGTAAAATAATGACAGTTATCACGTCCGATAAAGAATTGCTTTAAAACCAAGGAAATTGCAATCACTCATTATATTTTAAGATAGGACGGTACACTATTATTCTCGTAATTCAGAAAATCCGCAATTCGATATATTTAGCCGCTATATTAAAGTTTTATAACAGCCCGTAACTAACCGTTGTCTATAAAATACAAAGCTCAATTTATAAATATTCTACATGATCGTATGAAATTTTAATAGAACCAAATGTTTAGAAACTGCGTAATGAACGTAACGTCAAAATGAAATATGTGCACACATATTTGTATTAAACAACGTGCGCCATTCGTTAACTGCCATAAATCTAGTGTTAAATGACTGAGGTCGCACCAAACGTGATAAATATGTTGTTCTTCATTCATCCGAGTTGGGGAAAAAAATGCGTGCGTATCGTGTGCACGCAATCTACCTATTTGTCTGTTACCACGACCTATGACGACATCCTGTAACAGAGTGGTTCGCACGCCGGTTTCAATGTGTCACCATTTCATAGGGCCAGGGTTCGATCTCCGGTCGGGTCAATGAATAAATGGACTTTTCTATTATTTCTCGGGTCTGTGTGTTGTGGTACCGTCGTTATCTCAGATACTCCATAACACGGTGGTGAGGGGGGGGGGGGGTCTTTAGCTTTATTTATGTGGTGTTGTCTAATATTTAAACATGGTATGAAACAATCGCTGTCTGTATGGATTTTAATGCGGTTCTCATCAATATACAGTGATTCAAGAGGTACATTTATATGTATAACACAGAACCACGCGGACAAAGGCGCTGGCGCAAAACTAGTTAAAACAAAACCACATCGCTAACCAAGAAATTATTGTATTACATTTTATAAAGGAATGGAATAAGATTTTAAATACAATACTGACTTCGTAGGTTTTCTTACTGTCATTCATGCTCGGCAATAGACCTGTTGATGAGGATAAGACTCCTTAAGCATTCATCAAAACGTAATGGCCTTAACGTGATGTTCATCTTTTTCAAGGAGTTTTAAAATATGAAAGAGGTTAAAATGAAATCCAAAGATCAGATTGTGACATTATATCGTATTATTAACGTCCTTATTTCGTATAAAGGACCGGTGTCTAAGTTACACAATGTAATAAATTGTCCGATTAACATATTTGTTGGGTCACCGTTTTAAACAAACAGAAAATATAATAGTGCATACTAGTAATTTTGTAAATAAAAGTTTTAGAAAATATAAAAGTGGTAAGACAATTACAATTCACCATGTACCCCGTGACGAAAACTAAAAAGATGTAAAACCACGTCAAATTAAAATAAACACTCTTCAGAACCCTGACCTTTTAAATCAAAGCCTGAACACTAATTTGAAGACTTCCTCCGATAATTGATAAGAAGCACGAAGATCGTCGACGCCCTATTACGAGGTCGCAGAAAAAAGAAAGTCTTAAAAGTACTACTCTTGATGTTCATAGGAAAAAATTATTTCAATACGATGTTCCTTATTTATCCACGTATCTGTTTAAATCACACTTAATGCTTATTTCAAACCAGGTAAACCATTAAGAACTACACATTTTTAATTTTTAACGATATATATTCTCAAGACATGTTGTAAACTCCATATATGTACAGTGGTAAATTTCTAAAGTCTTAACACCCTTAGTAAGTAATGCGAAGTGCCCTTCAGTGTTAAGTTTAAGCTGACAGTAGGTGTGAGTGACGCGTCTTGAGATATCGGTGCGGAATTAGGTGCCCTTGGCGGACGCCTAGAATCGATAGAAACTTTATGGTACTTCTTACTAGCATATCAGATTCTTAACTGACATGAAAACAGTTTTTGTTCAGCTACAATTTTTTTGCTGATAAACTCAGCTATCGATTTCAATAACATTCATTCAAAACATACGCTTAGGATTATAACAACATTTAAAATGACCAGAATAGGAATTTCACCTAGATTAAAAAACATAATTAATAAGAATAAGTTCTTAAAAATACAGATGGTCAAAAACTATTTTGTTTATTATATTTGACCAATAACCCATTCACAATGCTATACTGAAAAATATAAAGATACACTTGTTACTTTTTCACTACTACAGAGCGTATTCTCATCAATGTTCTGGCAATCCACCCAAACAGCAGAAAGAAATATTTTTACAAATATTTAAACTTTCGATAAAGTTGAAAATTTGGTCTAATTATTATATTTTAGAGTACAAACAAACGAAATATTTCACAATGCTATACTGAAATATATTCTTAATGGAAAATTCTTAAAAATTCAGTATGGCAGTGTGAATACGAAATTATTAAAAAAATAATTATAAGAACTATTTTGTTTGTTTATACCCCGCCCTTATTATTTTGACCAAATACAAGGACTGCCCCTTAGCTAATTGTTTGGGGTTAATGCAGTGTACGCATTAATGCATGTAAACAATTTTCATCGAACGGATCTACACTTATATAATTTGTAAAGTACTAAGAGGAAAAAATGGATTTTTAGTTTGCATCAAATAAGTTCCGTACTGGACCAATTTCAAAAATTATTTCACCTACTAGAGAACATCTTATGCGGTTGACATAGGTTATGCCTAATTTAAGCGGGCGAGGTCGCGAGAAAACAGCCAGTTGAATATTAATAAGATCAATAAAATTATCTGAGAAAAACTAAACTGTTAAACCAATTTTATGTATAGAGTTTGACAATTATGGCTTTCCAAATATTCAAATCATGTAACACTGCGAAGTAGTTAAGTATCACAGAAAGTTAATTTAATTTTTTAAGCATATTTGTGAAAGAAAATAATTTTTATTCAGAAAAGTTGTATAAAGGCAGATGAAGCGTTATATTCTACAGATAGATGATAATGGGAATCGCTTTGAAATTCTGAATATTATAAGCTGGCTATTATCTATGTAGAAGCCACATCTACCGCTAACAATAGCGATGTCAACCACGAGGTTTACCTACGTAACACAATAAAACTATTCGCATATTCTTACTTCAAGATAATAGCCAATGTATTGTAATGTCGTAGCAATACAGTGCTAATTCGAAGAAGACTAAATATAGCGTTAATTGACTATGAATAGAAGTAATCACACGAAGTTTTGTTAGTTAAATCGAAATTCTTTAAACCATATCCTATACATAATATAAGACTTCAAACACAAGGAAGTATATTATTGAAAATTCACCAAGGTTATGTAACAATAGTTACAAAACAGGGAAGTGCAGCTTAGAAATTCCACTCTTATTGTAAGTCCAAATGATTAAACCAAAATAAAATACATTTCCAAACCAAAGGACTACATTCATATAATATTTTTGTTAGTTAAAATCTATAATATTAAAGTGAAATAGTTTATTATCAAATGCGACATTTTAGAAAAAAGACATACAACATGAATTTAAGAAATGGATATAATAATATTTAAGGGGCCTAAGCTAGTTCCTCATATGTATATTTTCATTTACGAAATTATACAAAAAGTTGCTATGCAGTACAATAGGATACCGAGCCCAACAAACAAGCGTACGTGCACGCAACGATCGCTGCTCCCTTGACCCGAGTTTCACGACGTATCTGACATCGCATTCATCTATTCACAGATGTCTTGTCACATCAGATCACCAGGCACGTACCGAGATATCAGCTACGGGCCAACAATTCTCTAAATAATTTGAAATTATTATTGTTCTTAAAATAGAGTGAATGAAAGAAATATGATTGAGCGCTATAGCTGTTTTCATTGATGGGACACTTGTAGCGACAGGATAGCTTCTTAAAAACATAATAAAAAGCATAATAAAAACCTACACGCAGCTACTTTGAACAAATAAAAGAATAACTAAGCATCATATCGTACTAA